CCCACGTCCTTCCAGGTTGAGAAGGACCCATCCATTACCCATCCACTACCATTGTAATGCTAGTAAGGCAGTCAGTGCTGCTCACAGAGAATCAGGTCAACCAGCTGAGGATGAGGCTGTTGCCTCTTTTACCATATCCTAACTGTGTGGCAAAAAACACTGACTTCCTCATGTGACTGGCCAGAACTTTGTTCTTCATCCTACTGGGTACAGATGAGACCACAGGGATTGATGCATTCATAACTCCCAGCCTTGATAATTGCAGCTCATTACTGGAGTAAAGCCAGGGAGCCCCCATGAAAGTTCCAAATGGTACAAATGCAACAACTTGTACATTTAGAAACACAGGCAATGGTAAATGCACCCCTTCAGTGTTGTGCCCTCTGAACTCTTCTTTCCCCTCCTACTCCAAGATGTGAAGGATAGCTTAAAATCACTATCCTCATATTTAAAATGTTTTGTGAGATGGTCTCCTGCTACCTTAGGAAAAAGTCTGTCCCCTCCATGACCGTCTAACATATCATAGAAATTTATAGAAATTAAAGGCTGCAAGGGACCTCAAAAGATCACTGAGTCCAACCCCTCTGATCTGGGCAGGAATGGTGCTGAAACCAAATGATCCCAAGCAGGTGTCTGTCCAGTCTCCTCCTGAAGACTTCCAAAGTTGGGGACTGCACCATGTCCTTGGGAAGTCTATTCCCGATTCTGGTCACACTTACCATAAACAAGTTCTTCCTTACATCCAACCTGAATCCATCCTCTAACAGTTTATGGCCATTGCTCCTTGTCCTCCCCTGGGGAGCCCTAGTGAACTGTTTTTCTTCCAGCTCCTGATATTCACCCTTTACATACTTTTAGATGGCCACCAAGTCCCCTCTCAGTCTTCTCTTCCGCAGGCTGAACAGTCCCAGATCCCTTGGTCTTTCCTCATAAAGTTTGTCCTCCAGGCCCTTAAATCATTCTTGTGGCCCTTCTCTGGACTCTTTCAAGATTCTCCACATCTTTTTTGAAGTGTGGCGCCCAGAACTGGATGCAGTACTCCAGCTGGGGTCTCACCAGTGCTGAGTTGAGAGGAAGTATCACTTCCTTAGCCCTGCTCGCAATGTGTCAGCTAATGCAACGTCTAGGACACAGCGGTGGTGGGAGAAAATATTATTGGGGAGGGGGAGGGGCTGGAGATGCATGGGGGCAGTGCAAGGCACTGCAGGACCACCCCTCCCTCCTGCAGGGCTGTTGTGGGGCCAGCATGTGGCAGAGGCACTGGGCATGCCTGTGCAGCGGCAGGGCATGGCAGTGGCACTGGAGCAGTGGAGCTGCGTTTGGGGGGGAGCTAAGCCCTGTTAGCCCCGGCCTTCTGCCGCCTATGCTAGGACATCTGTGTTTCCTTGGAGCAATCAAATTGCAGAGACTCCTGGAGGCAAGAAACAAAGACCTTCAGATATAATCAGGTTCAGAAATAACAATAACCATCGGTATCACCAGTTACCTTCAGAACTCTGTTTACACTCCTTTCTTCATCCTTCCTTTGCTTGTTTCTCTCTGACATACACACATGTAACACAACAGAGGCACCTATCTACGCCAACATACAACTATAAACTAATGTGGCTATTTATCCTGCAGGCTGGGAATGAAATGAAAGGCAGTTATTTCTATTGTTAGATACTTAGAAGGTGTTCAGATATTTTCATAGATTTCATAGACAATAGGGCTGGAAGGGACCTCAGGAGATCATTGAGTCCAGGCCCTGCCCCAGGGGCTGGAAGTCAGCTGGGGTCAAGGGATCCCAGCAAGATAAATGTCCAAATGGCTCTTAAAGGAGTCCAGAGTATGTGCTTGCATCACTCCTGGAGGCAGTCTGTTCTGCACCTTTGGGGCTCGGACAGTAAAGAAGTTCTTCCTTATGTCCAGCCTGAAACGGTCTTGGAGGAGTTTGTGACCATTTGACCTTGTCATCCCATGGGGCGCTCTGCTGAACAGACATTCCCCCAGATCCTGATGAGCACCCCTGATAAATTTATAGGTACCCACCAGGTCCTCCCTGAGCCTGTGCTTTTCCAGGCTGAAGAGTCCCCTGGCTCTCAGCCTCTCATCATAAGGCCTGTTCTCCTGCCCTCTGATCATGCACGTGGCTCTTCTCTGGATATTATAGTAATGGGAGTTATACTGGTACCTAAATGGACAGAATAGCCACATGCCTAGTTCAGAGAAGCCAGTGCAATCCTTGAAATACTGGAATAATATGCTCTTTGTGGCCACAGCTAGTAAGCAAATGAGGCTCAGATTTCTTACAAGTGATCTCAACGGTAGCCTGCACATCATCATAATTGGGACAAATTCTACCCTGATGTAAACGAGTGCAGCTACATTGACTTTATTGGGCTTTTCCTCACTTACCTGTGGTTTTTTCCATTTACACGCTACAGCAATCTACTCAGAGAACCATAAATGTCTGGATAACTGGTCAGGCTACTAGGCCTGTGCAAAGCCGTTAGTATTTGCTTCAGATTTGGCTGATTTGGGGGACAGTAATTCAAATCACTGTCCTGAATTGATTCAGCCAAATCTGAT